TCTCTATTATTTATTTCATATCCTAATTTTAATAAACGCTTACGTATATATTTTGGTGGATAATATTTTGCAAACCGCAACCATGCTTCTGACATTTTAATATTGTTAACAATATAATTTTCACCATATTCGCTTAACCTATCTCGTAGACCTGAAGGGTTATTGCTTTGAAATACTCTGCTATAACTCATTATATATTTGCTACTTCTGACGTATATAATATAGTTTTAACTGGTACTTTGTGATGTTTTATTATAACAATATATTTAATTATATTTTTTTCTGTGTATTAATAATAATAAATCAATTAAAATCCAATGGTTAACAAAAGCTGTGAAACAGTTGCCTCTGGCAATAATACCTCGAAATTAGTATCTAAAATTGTTAGACAGATATCACATAGAAGAATTTCATTTTCTTTCCGTCAATTATTAGAGATAGTGAAACCTGAGGTTTGCCAAGAACTTATAAACGCGATAACAAACCCCAATATTTCTCGGAGAAATCGTACATCATGTAAGGCTAAAAAAAAGAAAATTTTCAGTGATACTGCAACTTCATCCTCGTCTTCATCTGGGTCTGACTCTGAATCCTCTAGCTACGAAGTGAGTGAGTGACTACCTCTGGTATGATGATAAAGATTTTATTGTAGATGTGGTGAAAATAAAGAAGCGTAATTAGTCATCATCATAAAGGTGAAATGGTCTTGCTTGCTCTGGAGTTTGTCCTTTTTTTCGATAATTTACTATAACAATATTTAATTCTGCATTTTTTTTTATTGTGTATTAATAAATAATTTAACATATACAATGGTCGAAGCTAATAACAGTATTGTGCCAGTTCATCAAAATTTATTGCAAAGCCATGACCCAAAGGATCTACAAGAGAATGATGATAAAATCGCATCGCTAATAGAACCAATGAAAAAAATATCTATATCAGTTAATGGTAGGGATACAGAAGCGGTTTATGATTCAGGCGGACAGTATTCAACTATTACATACGAAAAAGCAAAAGAGCTGGGCTTGGAAATAGATGAAATCTCACCTCGAATTAACGATATGATAGTGATAGATTTTGTCAGACAAGTACTATATAAAGAAATTCGAATATCTCTCCATGAATTACTGAAGATAGTAAAACCCGAGGTTCGACAAGATATTATAAATTTGATAGAAAACCCAGATATTACTAAAAAACGCAAGATACGCAAGATAACATGTGGGGGTAAAAGACGATGTAAAGTTAATAAGACTTTTTTAAATGATTCTTCGTCTTCATCCTCAACTGGGTCTAGCTCTGAATCCGATTCCGAATCCGATAACGATGAAGCAATTATACATGTAATAAAAGCAAAGAAGCGTAGTTAGTCTTTATCATAGATCCGGAATAGTCTTGCTTGCTCTGGAGATTGGTTTTTTCTGCGATAATTCACTACAACATAATTCTGTACTGGAGAAGTATGGTTGTCAGGGTTGTGACGTAGACATTCTCCAGCAATGGTATAAGCATGGGCCATATTCTTAGCCTCATGTACTACCACACCATAAACAGCACCCATTTTTCGTAAGTATTTAGGGATTAAATCATAATCTTTTAAGAATCTATTGAACCATTTAACTCCTGGCTTACCTGGATTACCCATTCGTCCAGACGATATAGCACGCTGAATCCAAGTGAGTAGTTCTTTGGCTCGTTCTTGATTCTTTTCCATAGATCTAAATTTTCGAGGAATATCTGGTTGTCCCCGATTCTTCGCATAACCCGTCACTCCAGCATCTGAAATGCGTAAAGTTGTAAGTTCAGCAGGACGAATACAAAGCATCACCATAACATCTGCGAGAGCTTGTAAGTCGGGTAAAGTAGATACATTATAACCATCTAATCTCTCCTTGACTGATTCTAACGTAAAATGATCTGGATAGTCAATACGATTAGCTTCAGCCTTTTTCCGATTGATACTCTGGATTTTGTTAGCATCTTCTGTAATATCTGGAAATTTCGTGGCCTCAATTATTTGGAATGAAGCACCAAGATTTTTTAGTTCTCTTCGAAGCCGGGAAATACGTGATGAACCAGCATTAGCATTTTTTGCTGATAAGGCTAAGGCATAAGCTTCAGCTCTTATATCTCTAATGTTAAGTTTATCCCGTAAAATCCGTTGTGCCATATCTCCAATAGTTTCTTCAGCTATTCCTTTTGAGAGTTGATTGGCGACCACAATATTTAAGGTTTTGCCAGAAATACTTTCACATTTCTGGATTGAGAATAAGGTATTTACTTGATCCTCACTAAACCCATATCTATTTTGCAAGATTCGTTTTGCTATCTCTCTGATAATTTCTTCTTCCAGATTTTTCGGAGGTGATGCTATACCTATTCTGCAACTACCTTCGATAAAATTTATGACTTTGGTTTTACCACCTCTCTGATTAGGTATCAATATACTTACCTGCTCATTGCTAAATTTAAATCCATCCCGAAGACGCCTTCGTGCTTGATTCCTTTTCCTATCGTCTGTAAGGTTTTTGAGAAACTCAGAGGTATATTGACTAAGTTTAGATGGACTTGTCTTGGAGCTGAGATTGTATTTTTCAACGATCTTTGTTGCAATAGCTGACATGATTGAATGCCATGATAGGTTATGAATGATTCTTTAGGTTATATACACTATTGAAAATTTTTTTCCAAATCGAAATTAATTATGCTTTTTTCTCCATACTCAGAAAAAGAGCGTATATGGCTACCTGTAGGGTAACTGGGACGTCGATTTAAAAGTTACTAATATATATGATATAACGAAAAAAATTTATAGCTTCGAGTTGTGGCGACTCAGGCTATATTAAGAGTCACGATTCATTTTTATTTTTTATTGTAGTGTTCTCGCTATAGCAAGTATATGTTCTGGACCTAGAACATCTGCTTTACTGAATGCATCATACAAGGCATTTGGCCTATATTTCGATGGAGTTAAATTTGGGTGATGGAGGAAATTTATGAGAATATTATTTCTCCATTCCCGAGTTTCTCTACTATTCCAGCATAATTTTAGCAAATCACATATGGCAAATCCATTCCAGTTTGCCTTAAGCAGAATTTCTAGTAAGCTTACTTTCCCATCGATTTTTGTAAGAAGACCTTTTTCTGTAACAATACTCCAAATTTTATTAGATGCGAAAGATAGACATTTTTTTAGTGTTGGTATTTCATTGAATGACGGAATCAAAAGTCTTTCTTCTCTCCAATGCATATAACCATCGCGTATCAAGACATTGTATGCTGACCCATTGATTACAATCATACGATTAGTTTTTGGGTTATAGATTTTTGGCTTTACTGAACGATTAGGCAATTTGAATAACTCATCTGAGGTAATCGTTTCTTTGTTATATTCCGGCTCTTCGGTGTACATTATTGGTGTGTTACTAGTTATGAAAATGATAATAGTTAATTGTTACTTATGAAAATGATAATAGTTAATTGTTACTTATGAAAATGATAATAGTTAATTGTTTATTTCTCAAAGACCTGGATTATATACGAAAAAATTAATGATAATACTTATCTAGTAATTTGCTTCGCAGGTATAGAAATTAAGTGCGTAGAGTTTCTTTTACATTCTTCTGTTTATAATATCTATACGCTCTTTCCCTACCTTGTCCACATGGTACACAAAGCTGAACACTTGATTTAGTCCCTCGCCCACATCCTTTACATGGTTGGGGAATTATTATACCCTTTCGAATTTTGAATGCATGGGGGGCACAATATTCCCCTCTCGCCGGGTTTTTACATAAATGGATATCTCCGACTAATAACCAATTACAAGGCATTTTCAATTCACAAAGTGGGTGGCTATACTATTCTATTATCACTTTCATATTTAAAATCAAAGTAGGAATGAAGTACTGACTAAAATTTTACCAAATATCGTTTTTAGGCGTCACAAAAACCAGTATATAGCACAAAGTTTGCATAATATTTTTTATCTGAAATTTTTTATATTAACTAGTTTGTAGGAGCAAAAAATCCCCCTACCTGAGAAATTGACCTATCCACTCCTTAGTATATATAGTGATCTTACCATAGATATCCATTTTCTTGAAGTATTGTTATTTTTTCTATCCATTCCTCATCATCGTAACTCCTTGCTCGGGGTTTGCCATCGTCTTCATACAGTCGGAGCATAATTTCCTCACTTATTAATCGTTCTCGTCTAGACATGTCCATCAATGTATTTGGGTCGTCATCGGTATCTTTTGCGAATTGGATCATGTCTGCGTCCGAACATAATCTATCATGGTATGTATACGCTAAATTCCTATCTTTTTCAGTAATAGTAACGAACTTATCTGGATCTTCGCCGTGATCGACTGCCCATTGCCTGAGACGTTTTTCCCTTTCCACTCGGGGTATATATCCAGGTGGATATGTTTTCGATTGGTTGTTGACTTCATTGTTGCCGAGTTCAGATTTATAATTTGCAGGTAAGTCGGGAGAAATATCGGGTTCATTTTCCACTGATTCGATAGAAGATGGTTCAACTTTATCATTGGCTGGTTTAATGATCTCAGAAACTGGTTTGGATTTATCGTCAATAGGTTCTACGTGTACGATCTCGGGTGGCGGAGATATATCGGTAGACACTGATGATGAAGCAACTGAACTTTCATTTGTTATAGAATCGAAGAGATCCTGGGTCATGTTAGTAACTGGTGGAGTAGATGTTTCCTTACCTTTTTCGATGTAATCGGTGGTCGACGACCCGGCTATATTTTTCGCTGGTTGAGGATTTATTGCAAAGCAATGAGCCTTTGGGTCTACAATTTCGGGTACGTTAAATACAGGGATATCTGTGGACGCGTTGGAGGATATCTCGCCTTGAGGTGTGTCGGAAAATTCTTCTATATCAATACCCTTTTCACGTAGTTTGCTTACGATTTTAGATCGATCGAGAATGTACTGATATACTCTTACTCCACCATCGCGTGAACGTGTACGATCAATACCTATTTGCGAGATTTTTTTTCCAAGAACATTACTAGTGGATGGTTTTTCTCCATTACTTCCACACCAAGTGAGATAATCTTGATATAAAGTAGCACAGCTTGGTTTATCAATCTGATTCTCAGACCATAGTGAAATATAATCAATTATGAATCGAATAGGGTTGGGAAGGTGACCTCGCATTGTTTCAACTTTCATTTTAGTATTAGGGATATCTTGTGGTATCCAATTTGAAAGATCTCGTTTAAGTAAGTAGCTCATAAAATTATTAGGTGTATTAGGATGTTCCAGAATTTTTCCAAGTTGCTTAAAATATCCCATATTACCCTTGCATCTAGGAGACACATCTAAGCATACTATACGCCCATCACCCATTTCAACACGAAGTGGGGCATCATGATTACTAAGGACCATATATCCAGCGAAATCTTTGATTGTTTTGGGCTCAATTCCCTTACGCTCAATAGTTATATATGGCTCAGTAATAAGAGATTTTAGGTGGTCATTAGCCTTTTGCCATTCTCCTGATACCATTCCCGTTTCGTTTAAAAGGATAAGCTTTCTAGCTTGGATACAGCTATTGAATCTTCCCAATATTTTCCCGAGATCTGAGGATGCAAAGAATAATTCCGGTCCTAAGACTTCCTTGCCGATAAAATCAGTTAAGATGTTTTTTCCTGAACGGGGTGGGGATCTTAGTACTAAAACAGTTCCAGGTTTTTTTTCTGGGTATTGCACAAGATAAGCCAACCAGTTAATAACATACTCAGAGAGATTTTTATCCCCATTACACCAAACATTTTCTATATGCCAAATGATCGGATCAATAAGAGCAGAATTAATTTCAGTTGATGGTCGAACTTTGAATCCTAGAAAAAGATTAAAGAATTTAGTATTCAATGGAGAGGTGTTTGGAGAATACGGTAGAAAATCAATATTACTATAAAGAATCAGACCTTTTGTAACTGCCCGATTTATTAGTGTTTTTAAGTCTACTAATTCTCCCCCATGTTCAGTTATACTAATTTCGTAATTTGCAAGATCTAGTTTGGATGCCATATCAAAATAAAGACCATTATCTGAATCTTCCATTTTAAATAACCACAATCTTGAAGTTGTTTGAACACATGCAACTGTTGCTTGAATTGCTTCATACACCTCTTTGCGTGTATATCTTTGTTCGGATATACACATATCTAGCAAGTTTCCCCATACAAAATTATCGTTCGGATCAGAAATTCTGGATTTTTCTAGTTTTGGGGGGATTGAAAATTTGTTTTCTCGATCCTTGGCTGATTCATTAATAGTAAGTTTTATCGAAGGTTTTCTTGTTCCAGGAT